GAGAAAACCCAGTGCAACTGGCTTCAGATCAAGTGGGCTGAGTACAGAGCATTGACCATTGACCGGTTCAAAATCATTATTTGACCCTGGAAAGGAATAGACTATCTAACATATGGCAAATAATGCAACCCTTTGTGCTGCACAAAGGATCTCCTTAATTCTGACATGGAGTCAAGAACTTCTCCTGCATATTTTGTTTTATCTCCCATGTTGTTATCAGACATTAGAGCTGATTTACAGAGTCCTTTCCACAAAGCCTGCATTTACAAGCTGAAGTGGCACATGCAGGGTCACCGCTTCTCTCCACAGTCCAGCTAACTCAGATTCCTTCCTCAGCACCATGGCAATAGGAACACAGAAAAAGCCTTTTTTTCTCACTGCCACTTATCTAATTGAGTTGGACATGACCTCAGGTTCACCACTTTAAAGTGAGAAAAAGTCCACCGAAACCCCAAGATAATGACTTCTCACTGAAAGATGATTAACAGGGGGGAAGATGTCTCTTGACTATACAAACCTCATGGCTGAAAAGTATCCTAACGCAAAGGCACATCTGTGTCCCCCCTCACCTTGAACAAGCTGCACAGTAACATTTTTGATCAAGCTCTGAACTGTTCCATATGAAAAATAAGCACACAGCTGTATCACTGTCTTTTCATACAGTCATTTATAATGTTAAGAAAATGAAAACAGACGTGGTTCCTTAGCATCCCTCATGGTAACCAGCTGTTAGCATCCCGTAAAAATCACAAGTAAAACAGACTGAAATTTATTCAATTCTGTACGATTCAATCACTTCTAATAGCTTTTCTAACTGGCCTCATGACAAAAAGGCTAAACTGACCAAAGTGCATATAAATTCCTTTTGAAGACGAGTTATCCAGATATAGCCTAGAGCATGTGAATGAAAGACAGCTGCAGACCAGCTGTATACAACCTTTAACCCTATCATAAAGCTCATTTAAGCAACAATAACCTTTTAGTGACCCTGGATATGTATGTGCACACCTGAGAGGAACACAAGGCACACTGCTATTATTTTTGCAAATTCAGCTATAAAGCTGCAGATGGTATTTTTTAGGCTTTTTCTCTAAAACCAGCACAGAATGGTGTATTTCCTTCTGAAAATGCAACAGATCTTTTTCTCAAGTCCTGTGTTCCACCAAGAAGTAGAAGAAAACATCTGGAAGACATTTTTCTGGTTTTTTGGAGGGCTTAGCAGACAGCACAATGGAGCTTATCAAATCCAGATGTGAAGGCATTCAGTGAAACAGTGAAGGCTTCTATTTATCCCCTTAAAACATTCATAAGAATAAAACAAATACCAGCTCCTGATATATAGCATAATTCCTGAACCATGCCCATATTTCTTTGGCATATCCACTGGTCCTTTCGGTACTGTTGTCTATTAACATCAGTGACTTTGGCCAAAATCCATCCATGTTTTCATTTGCATATGGCATCCAAAGAATGTTTTTTCAGCCTTTTAATGACTAAAGTACGCTGCACAAGTAGGCTCTGGTCCATGGGTGAATACCATCCCAAAATGTTTAGAATGAACAATTATAACTAAGACTCATGGAAAGAGTCCACTGATTGAGGAAAAGGAGTAAAAAGCAACTCAGCAGAAACACACAGGAAACCTTTTAGAGAGGAAGTCAGGCTTGGTCTACAGCTACAAAACAACTGAAGCACCACACCAGGCAGTTTGTTCATTTTATTACATTTAAATGGATGTTGTTTAGTGAAACATCAGAGAACTGCTACTAGGTGGAACTAGACAAGCAAAGAACACCTTTATTAACAGAATCAGTTCCAACTCAAATTCTGCATGCACATTGTAAGGCTGTCCAAAAGCAAAAAAAAAACTGAACTGTTGCAGGGATTCTAGTCACAAAAAGTACAAAACACTGATTGAAAACATATACCTATACACACTCCTTATCATTCTGTTTGACCCCCATGAAACAAGGAGCAGCGACACTTCAACAGCAAGAATCCCTTTCTTAGGCAATGAAACTGTAAACCTGCCTCTGACAAGCCTGACCGTCACCTCTAAACTCTGACCCCGCTCCTCATTCTTAACCTCTGTGTCTTATGGGGCTGCTGTTTACCACTTTTGAAATACATATGTTTAAAGTGAGGTTTGCTCATGCATGCCAAAGCAAGATGACCTCTAGGAAGAACTGTACTTTCACTCGCTGTCTATTGAAACCAGACTTAGCATTTGATGTGCTGATCCTCTCTGAGCTTAGGCTGCCATGAATCTGACACTGTGTTGTATTGTGCAACTTTAAACACTTAGAAAGAATATTCTGCAATCCTAGTGGAATACTGTATCTCAGTATTCAATGATACATCTTTATAATTTGGTTTGTCAGTAGATAAAATCCTGTTCCATGCTACTATCAGATGCTATTACAAGATGACTTTATAGGCTAACAGATAGGTATCATGGTAAGTAGCTAAGCCATATTTGACTGCAAACATATGTTTTTGAGGCTTTTTGCATCTTAAAGCTAAACAACAAATGTTTGTGTGTAATATGAGAGGCTGCTAGCAACTAGCCTTTTAGCACAAAGCATTTAGAAAGCTAAAGACTGCAGTATTTTCCTCTGGACTGAGCAGAGACCAAAACAAAGCTGATAATAGGAAAGCAATGTTGATCTTAAATTTGCGAGGCAAACAGAAGCACAGCTCTAAATTAATGTTTGCTTTAGAAAGTGACATGTTAGTGTCCTGTTTACAGTTTGTTGTACTGCCCCCAGGTGGTGATATATAAATTACCACCAAAATTAATCCCATTTTATGAAATTTTAGAGTCGGTTTTGCATATTTTATGCTATTTAGCTAAATTAGACTCTTAATGTACAGGAAAATATAATTACTAAATTTTACAAATAATTTAATAGGATATTTGCTAAACTCTGAGCTTAGCAAATCTGGGGGTAAGTATGATTGGCTGTGCAGTTATAGGAGTCTAACAATACATATAATTATCACAAGATGATTATATTAAAGGTCAAACATTATCGCAAAGATCACCTCCATAAATTGTGTCTACAACCAGTTGTATGTTATTACTTTTTGTTTCAATTTCAGTGGAAAATAAAAGCCACAATGTAAAGAAATCTACCCTCTATATAATAAAGTCATTATAATATGACTGACATTATATTCCATATAAAATTATTAGTAAATATGAAATAATATGAAAACAATACAATTGTTTGTTTGTTTGTTTGTTTGTTTGTTACACCTCCATTTTTGTGCAACTGTGTAAGGAGTTGAGAAGTCCCAGATAACAAGTGATGTGTCTGGGCAGGCCTCTGCAAGCTTTCAGAATGTATATCCTCATCCTCCCTGAGGCAAAGAGGTCATCTGGTTTGGGTGAAAAACTGGCTAATAACCATTTATCTACCCTGATATGAAATGCACATGCAAAATATCTATTTATACAAAAGCCTGATACTAGTGTCAACATTAACACAAAAGCTGACGTTCATCAACTACAACAGTTGATACTTAAGTGAATGTAAATGAGCAAAAAGGAAGTAAAAATCCTAAACTTGAAGAATAGTATGTTTACATAAAACTAGTAAAGACTAGCAGTCAGCATAGACATAAAACTAGTAGTGAGCATGATGCTAGCACCAGTTCAACATGTGGTCAGTGTCAAGTTCCCAGAAGCGTTCCAGTACCCCTGAGGATTACTCACAAGACTCTGGTTGCTCTCTGATGCCTTTAAGAGACGACTGAATCCGGCCAGCAGCACCAAAATGATTTCAGACCCATGCACTGTCCCATCAAGTCCAACTGTTATACAGTGACCTAAGCTGTGTTCAATTAACACCCAGTGTTGATAGGCAGATAAGCAAGCTGCAGTAATCCCTTTACATGTTCAACAGTATAGCCTATATGAGCCTATAAAACCACTTCAGCTGCAAGTGTTCTTTATTATAACGGATTCTAATTTTCTGCAGTGAAAGGAGCTTTATAGCATCTACATCACATTAAGACCATCAGCCTCAGTCTTGCCCACAGTTTCTCACTGTCCTAAGCAGAGAGAAGCCACCTGTTCACCTCAAAGTCCTGTGTCAGACCACCAACCGCGCCAGGCAGAGTCAAGGTGCTAATAATACATGGAAGCCATACCCCAGCCCCTCTCACAACAGTGTTTAATGATTATTTAAAAATCACTTCTTCCATAACTGATGTTTAGGTTACAAACAATAAACATTTACATTTTCATACCGAGTTCTATAACTGCTACTAAGAAGCACAAGAGATAATTTCTAGAATGTAATTGTCTGAGCCTAAACACAGGGCCCAGTGCCTTGGAAACTGCTTGTCCTGATGTGGGGAGCCCTTCAGGCGGCTCCACCCTACCACTTTAGGAGAGCCACAACCCCTCCTCCTTATGAAAATGATGTTCAATCCTCTCATCAACTTAAAATGGGGGAACGCTACAGAAAAAATCCTCTTCACGTTTTCTTGAACTGAACTACAGAAAAGTTAATTTTGCAAAATGAGTAAAGTCTTCGAAATGCAAAACACATTTGCACATATTAAAGTCACTTGTGGAAAAAAACATTTTTTTTGTACTTGACAGACATTCATCACATGCTTTAGCAGAAGCAGGATTTCTGTGCAGGCCTACACGCTATAGATGCTTCTGCAGTGTAAAAACTTTGCCACAGCTTCACTGCAGAACCAGTTCCTGCAGATCCACATCACAGACAGAACAGGTAAGGGACCAGTTGGACATCAGGCTTTCTTAAGAGAAAACACTTCTGTCATGAACCTAGAGTGTTCTGATACTTTCTTCCAAGTTAGTTTCGGACAGACCGTGATGAATACACTGAGACACTAATAAAGGCACAAAGATGAGTTTGGAGGAGGGGCGGACATCACACAGATCTACAATAACCAAAGAGAAAACCTTTCGGAGCGCAGCGCAACTCCAAACTGTATCCACAGACCTCGCAGACGCATCTTACCTGAACTTGCTTGCCATATGACAAAAAGCAAAATCACCGCTAAAGCGATTTGGGCGTCCCTTATCCTCCGTTTAACTTTCCATCTTATATGGGTATCCATGACCGCCAGAGACGTCCACGGCAAGTGGATTCACTTTTCAACTATTTAGACTTGCAACAACTCAGAAAACTAGTAAAAGCAAAAAAGTCCCAGAGAAAGAGAGAAAAAAGGGGGAGGGGGGTGTTTCGTTATTTCTCAAGCAGCCATAAGGGTTTGTTAGTGAGGGTTCCTCCAGCTGGCTGACGGATGAGCACCGTCTCTCCCGCACTGCACCTCTCCTCTCTGCTCTGCTGAACTGTCCTGCACCGCTGCGCCTCCGACCAGAAGCGCTGCCCCCTCTTCCAGTCGTCACGTAGAGTCCCTTCTAGTCCAACGGGGCAACACACGCACAAAAAGTCTTTCCCCTGGGCTGTCACTCACAACGCGGACAGGAGGCTTAGGCAAATCAGAGGAGTCCAAATATTAGAGCCGGCCCTTTTATTGGCCGAGGAAGGAAGGAAAAGTTCAGGCAGAGCTTGACGCCTGCAATCCCTGCTCTGAATTCTTTTACATGGAGTCCGCTGAGGAGAGGGTCCGAGCGGGAAAAGCAAACTTCTCCTGACACAAATCCTCAACAAAGGCAATGCATATGTTACTTGCATTGCAAAACTCTTGGTTCACTTCATGTCAGTTGGTTTTCAGTAACGGACTAACTGAGAAATTGTTGTGAGAATCTGCACCACTAATGTAAATTACAAACAAATGCAAGTCCTGCATATTATGTAATTTATTGGCCCTGTGTCAAAAATCTGATTTAACAGCTTTTTGGATTAGTTGGTACTGTCATCATACTGCATGTTCATGTTTAATCAACTGAGAGTCTGAAGCCTTGTATGTAAAGCCCTGTGATGTGCATCTGAGGTTTGACAATGTCTGCTCTGATTCTTCCTAACAAGTTGACATTTGTTCTTAATTATCTTTATTTATTTTGTGCTTAATATGGAACCATTTTGCATTTGTATTTAATCAAATTACCACAAATGAAACCTCAGCTCAAGTGAAGCCATTACAGGACTGGTTTCTGTGCAAAACATAATAAAGCTGAATGGAGATTTTTCTCCTACTATGGAGTAATGGAGTTTGCTTAAACCCCTTTTGCAAGTGTCTAAGAGCTGCTACTCATAGTGCACATACATAGATTACTACAAAGAGACAAAGGCTTAGTTGCCATCAACACTGACTGGCATGAAGTGAAACTAAACCCAAATGTACTTAATTACAAAATTGTAACAATGACACTATATGAGGTTTAGTTAGACGTTTAGAATAACAAAGAAACTACAAAACAGGCCTATAGCTTTGTCATGGACAGGCCAACACCAAAGTCTTCAGGAAACAAATATCAGTTTGGATCAGGTGTTACAGGATGCGTCAGTCAGCTGGTTTCATCACCCAGCCAGACATAATCAAATCAAATCAAATCAAATTTTATTTGTATAGCGCCAAATCACAACAAAAGTCATCTCAGGACACTTTACAAAGTAAGGTCTAGACCTTACTGTTATCAATATTATTACAGAGGGAAAACCCAACAAATCCCCCTTGAGCAAGCACTTGGCGACAGTGGGGAGGAAAAACTCCCTTTAACGGAAGAAACCTCCGACAGACCCCGGCTCTTGGTGGGCGGCCTTCTGCCTCGACCGGTTGGGGTGAGTGGATAGAGGAGAGACAAAAGAAGAAAAGCAACAAGACACAACAATCAAACACTGATCAGGTCGATGTGGCCGGTGACTGCTCGTCAGAGACATAGAGCTCCAGGGCCAGGGCAACCTGCAGAAAGGTACAGGGAGAGAGAGAGAGGACACACTACGGGAGAAAGGAGACACAAAGTTAGTAATGTGTAATGGAGGCATATAGAAGCATAGGGAGAGAGAGGAGAGGAGAGCAGAGCAGAGCAGGAGGGGAGGGGAAAGAAACTCAGAGCAGCATGGGGCCCCCCAGCAGCCTAGGCCTATAGCAGCATAACTAAGGGAAGGCTCAGGGTCACCTGATCCAGCCCTAACT